TACCTGAAAAATTTTATATATATCACTCCATAAATAATACTTTTCCCTCTTAAAGTAGCATCAAGAATACAAGTCAACAATTTACTGTGGAGATACCAAAGGCTGGGGAAGTGGACTTTACCTTTGTCAGTGGGTATCTTGTTGGCCAGGTAAGAAGATAAAAGATGTGGACATGATTTTGCAATACTTAATACTTAAAACTTGAGTTCAGATGCTGAAAGGAATTTCTGTAGATATAGTCTTTGTCTGCCCTTTCCTTCATTGTTCTCATTTCGTTGCCAGTTTATCCTGCCTTTTACTTTTATTCTCCTCTTTTTTTGCTGTCTGTATTACCTCTATTCCAAGAATTTGTCAGGCATTGCTATGGAGGTCTTCTGAGAAGGCTGGGAAGCCAAGATAAGGTTTGGGAGGCATTCTGCAACAGACTTAAAACAGAGCTGTGGAAGACACTGAAGGATTCCTGAACTCATTTGATTTTAGCCTTGAAAGCTCAGTTAAGACAGTTGTTCCTTTGGGTTGCTAGAACTCAGAGCAGCAGCAAAAGTGATTAAATGAAAAAAAAATAAAAAATATTAGTGTAAAACAGATACCGGCATAGGTTTCTGGAAAAAAAAACCTAATCTTGCCGTTTCCCAAGCCCATGAGAAGCAGAATGGATGAAGGAACCATGGCTTGAATGAATGGCTTGACTGTAACTGTGAGTGCAATTTCATATTGATTAATGGCTGAGATAGAGTTATGTGTGTCAGTTTCTCCCATTTAATGACTTGTGTTAGAGTGACCTATAAACAAGCTTCCCATTGCCTCTAATTTTGCCCCCTTATTATGAGGGAATAAAATGTCTTATAGTAAAATGGGTTGAGTTTGTTTGGAATAAATCTGTCCTTTTGGCCCTTAGGCAGGTAAGCATATCTTGTAATCTGGAGTTCTGGGGGGCTCAAAAAGGTTATTTTATTTTTCAAATAACCAAATACTTGACTGCATATCTGGATAGAGTATCAATACAGAAACAGAGCTGAGCAGTTTGAAGGTTACAAATTAAGAAATGCAGTTGTTCCATTTCTTTTTTCTGTCAATTCACAGATGAAAAAGTCCAGTGAGAGCATTTTGTATATGCACATAGTTGTAGCAAAGAGCTGAAGCATATTAATGAATTTCTCATGTATTCGTCATTGTATCCCCTTACTGCAGGCTACTGAAGTCTCTAATGAATTTCTCATGTATTCGTCATTGTATCCCCTTACTGCAGGCTACTGAAGTCTCTGATTAAGAAAGCATGGAACCAAAGACAAGAAAACACAAAAATAACTGGAAAATTCCCTATCATATGATGCAAGACTGAAGCGTAAAAAATTATAACACAAGGCAGAGAACATTCCATTCTCCCAGAGGATCTCTAAAGGAATGGATGAGGAACAACAATTAAGTAGTGAAGTCTGCTTCACTATGCACTCTCTGGATTATCCTCGTATCATCATGAGCACTTCCCTGTAGCCTCAAAACTACAGAAAAAGGTGAATTCTGACATGCTCGCTAAAAAATACATGACAGAAAAGTTTTTGTTACATATGAAGAAAAGCAAAAGACACCATCATTAATGGAAGATCTTTACACTTCATTTCTACAGAAGCTCTCTTTGGTTGCACTAAAAGATTAAGTCTAAAAGATCCCTTTTCAGTTTTCATACTTACACTCCTGGGTGTGTAATTAATGAAGTTCTTTTTGTCATTTATATTTTTAAGATGGCCAAGGACTCAAATAAGCAGTGTGTTCTTCATAACCTTTTTTGTTGTAGTTGCCATTTATGAAACTGTTTTGATATTATGAGGATTTTGCTTGTCTCCTGTCCATATCAGGTCTTACATTATTATCCTCCTGGCTCCAGCCTGGCATAACTGTAGCACCATCTCTGAAGATGAGAATGCAGATATTTAGGATATACATCCTGTTCAAAAATCAACAACTGGTCTAATATCAGAGATCCAGGCACATTCTTACACCATAGAAAGTTTTATTATTAGTAAAGTGTTTAGGTAGAAAACTGTTTAGGTAGAAGAAAAAAAAGAATGTGATCATTAATGACCTTTTCTAAAGTCTCAATATGTATCTAGTGTATATTTTAATTAATCTGTATGACTTTTTGTTTCTGTGGTTGCTCAGACTTTCATAACAGTAATTTGATGTGAGCTGGTCTGATTTCTTGCATACACAGGCTTCCAAATGAGCTACAGCAGTACATTCAAATGCTGTAAAAAAACTCTCAGACCTACCCATGCTGCCTGTGGGGCAGAGCAGTGAGGCTCTCTTTAAAACCAAATTCACTGTCTGTGCAGACATTGAATCTGAAAACTGGCCCTAGACACGATGAGGCTGTGCCTAAAGGAGCATAGAAGCTGCTGTGTGCCTGAGCACCTGCAGGGAGTTAACACAACACCAGTGTATCCAGGCAGGCTGGCTGCTGTCTGCTTGCAAGTGTCCACAAGTCACCCACGTCAGTAAGAGGTGGGCAGGTTGTTGCATGCTCTTCCAGAGCTGCTTTTAGATGAGGTGGGAACATATCTGCTAGGTTGATTCATGGCTGTCTCTTTTCAGTGTATTAGTGGCACAGTCTCATGTGGCTGGTAAGGTGGGAGGTGGTAGGCAGCATGAATATTACCTGAATGACAAGGAAAATTGAATGGATAAACTAAAAAACCAAGTAGTACCTATGTTATGCAGCATGAAGCCAGCTGGGGAGCTGGCATTGAGAGACACTGAGCATGTGTACAGGGAAGAATGACTTATATTTGTCCAGGTTCATAGTGGTTTGCACCAGAACATGAGGGTTCATTAGGATCCCATTAAGAAAGACACTCAGACTCTGTAGAGCATAGCTTAAAATTCTTGTTATTTGGGTTAATGCTATAAAGAAGATCTTGACTATCTTAGAGGTCTTTTCCATCTTAGTGATACTATGATTTTATATTAGTGGTAGGGAACATGGTGGGCAGACAAGGAGTGAAGTGTGTTTTCTGTGATGTATTTTCTATGTGTCTTGGACATGTTACAGTGTCACCTGAAAAGTCTTCAATGCAACCACTCTTGCCTATTTGTGCCCTGCTGCCACCAGCTCTGGAATTGATCCCGCTGTGGCTTGTACCAAGGGGAGTTGAGTGGATCCCTCAAAGGCAGCTTTATGCCATTTTCCCTGCTTTCATGGAAAAAGAATCATAAAGTTCCTCTTTAAAAGAGAGATAGGTTGACTGAACTTCCATTCTCGAAAACCTATTAAACTGGGTACTTAAAAAATGTATTTGTAATTACAAGAAGGCCACAGGGTAATAAGTTAGTAGCAGGGAGAGTTTCTAAAGAACAAGTGACGTAGTATTAATCTAATTTCCCTCTATAACAGTAGGTAATTGGCCATGTGGATACTAGAGAAATAGTACAGGGTTATCTTAATTAGGGTTATCTCAGATGATATAAGGAACTTGGGGATATATGGTAGAGTAAATCTCTGACATGGAACATGGGAACTGGAAAACTGGTTAGAAAACTGTACCCAAAGGATAGTTATTAATATTGTTCTTTCAAAAGAGATGACTGTGTTAAATAGGTTTAGGAAGCTCTTTTCCTAAATCAGTATTTCCACCATTTCCACCAGTGACTTAGATAGTAGGGTATTTTATTTTAAAGTATTTTATTTTAATATTGAAATACTAAATAAATAAATAAATAAATTTCAATAAGGACAAGTACAAAATAATAAATATTAAAATAATTATTTTCATGATTAAAAGATGCAGAACAAATAGTTAAATGGCCTTTCTGGGCAAAATTGTTAGGAGATTTAGTAGATGACAAACTGAATATAATGACTGACACACAAAAATGAGTAAGACATATTGAAAGTATGCATTGTAACTCTCCCAGGTAGCTCTGGCAAGACCTCACCTGGAGCCTTATGCTAAACCTTGGGCAGCCCTTTTTAAGAAATTTTTGAACCAGAGGAAAGCATCAAAGATGATCAAAAGCCCAGAAAATCTGACTTCTGAGACTGAAAGAATGAGGTTTGTTTAGTCTAGGGAAGGGAGAACTGAGGAGAGATGTGAGAACAGTCTTAAAACACATAGAGACTGCTGTGGAAAGGTTAGAAACAAATTGTTCTTCTTGTGTTTTGGAGGTCAAGAAAACATAAAGTGTGCTCAAACTGCAGCACAGGGAATTCAGGTCAGACACAGGGGAAGATTTCCCAGCTGTAAAATGATTAAGCACTGGAATAGATCTCCCCCCAGATACAATACTTCAGGGCCCTTTGATGCACTTCCAGCCTTCTTACATGGCATAAAAAATCTCTCCCCAGCAGTTCAGTTTAGGAAATGTTTTGTGTAAGTAGAAATGAGAAGTACTATAAGGCAAGGTGTGCAGACGACAAGTTCATATTTTGGCTTAGATGGAGAGAGCTGGGTCAGAGGAAAATTCATGCAGCAAAAATAAAGTAGTGTGAACAGTTGGGGTCATTCAAAAATAGAGGAGAAGAAAATGGATCTGAAACCAAATGAGTTTTCTGACAGGGTGTGAGAAGCACCAACTCTCCAAGGTAGGAGAGTAAGTAGCTCACTACACTTGATATTTAAATGTATACCAGAGAGACTGCCTGAAACTGAAACTATAATTAAAATATCATGAATTTGCTAATTTTGTGCCATTGTCCAAATAATGCATAAGACATTTTATAAAACTTCAAATACCCACCATTTGACTAGGTCGCTGTCAGTGGTGTGTTACAGGGTAAAGGTTAGTTGCATTACATTTTATGAACTTGTTTGATGGAAGAGGTTCAACATATTTTATGTAAGGAATGGTGTTTTAAGAACAACAATTTTGTAGACATTTTGTAGGCTTTTGTAGACAATATTTCTTTCCTCCAAAATGCTTGGAGTATGCAAGCTAATGTACACATTTGTCAAATAGCTTTTCTGAAATATTTCTCTCCCATTATCTCATAAGTTGTTGAGGCTCTTTGGGAATTAACGCTTTTTGCATTCAGCTGACAAAGCAATCTTTTGCTTTAGGATTCAGTATTTTATGCTACTTGGTGCTAACCGTAGCTGTCCAAGGCCACATGGTAATTCTGGTCAAAAATATTAATTGAATTGCATCAACAGAATATTCCATAGACATTCATAATAAGCTCCTAAAGTTTGCTTTCTGCCTAATTATCTCTAGTACCAACATACTATTTCACTTATGATGGAGAACTGATAATAGAATACTACACAGTATTATAATGGAAAGCTACAACTGTGGCCAAGAAGAGAAATTACAATGTTTTACTCAAATCCAGCTATTCCAAAGATCTCCCTCTCATATGAATATAACCCTTCTCAAAAGAAATCTTTACCTTTTTCTGGACTGAACCAGAAAAAGGTGTAGTAACAGGAGTGGAGCTTAGACCTGACTGATGATGTTAAGGCAAGTAACCTGTGCTGTGAATATGTGCTCAAAAAGCTATCTTGAAAGTGCATTGATGTGTGATAACTGTACCTAGAAATTCCATTCAAAAACATGGTGGTTAAGTGTGTTTGCACAGCAAGAAGAAGTTTCTGCCTCAAAGGGTTTTCAAACTAAATAATAAGAAAGAAAAGCAGTGGAAGCATGTAGAGAAATGGGCATGTTCAAGATGTTGTAGCCAGGGAGTTGGAAATATTATTGGTAATGTTTCTGAGTCCCAGCTCAGTGACTAAGTGAAGCACATTACCTGAAGAAATGTTTCACATGCAAATACTTCTTGAAGGTCTAGCTGCATCTGGCTTGCTCATAGTATTTGTGCTTTGATTTCAAAAGGCCACTTATATGACTATGATAAGACAACCTAGTCCTAGATTTTTCTAGTTTTTCATCTCTTCAGGCTGCTTATATTCTTTCTTTCTTTGACAGACAGATCAGCAGATCTTCCCCATAAAGACACCTTGTGAAGGCTGTGAAGGTAGTAAGTCCTTATCAGACTCTCTTCCCTTTTCTGTCACACTATTCTCCCTTTACACTCACTATTCTTGTCTAAGTAATTATATCAGTTTTCTGGTGACAAGGGGAATCTCTCTCCTCTTTATTGTAGAACTTCTTTCAGCATTACTGTTTCCCTACAAATAGTCCTTTTCCATTTCTAGTATTATTTCCTCCTGTTATATTCCATATGTTTTACATTATTTTCTCTCAGTGTGTTAGCTTGTGAGACACGTTCTTTCTAGAGTTGCTTTCCCCCCATGATTTAGTTGTGTTACTGTTGATCTGTCTACACTGTTATTTGTATCTCCTAACAAATTAGAATCATATTGTAGCATTTTACCATACAATGAGTATTTTTACATCCTTAATCAGGAAACACGATGGCTTTGTATCTGATCTCATTGGCATAGCACATAGTACTACTTAATCTCCAGCTTTTTTTTCCTCCTCCTTCCTCTTCCTTTTCCCAGTTTTCTCTGTCTTACTTCTCTGCTGCATCTTCAAAAATCCACATATGTGCAGATGTCACTGTGCATGTAAAAAAAATTCATGTCTTGATCTGGACTACTGTTTCCCTACAAATCATGTCTTTTTTAAGGTCAGATCACTTTAAACTAATCTGTTCTGCCAAGGATTAAGACATCTCCATTTACAATTCATGCATTGGTCTGTCAGTCACAAGGTTTCTATTAACCCATTATGTTGTCACAGCCCTGAGATGATGGGTTTTGTTGGATTTTTTTTTTCCTGGGTTCTGTGGTGGAATTGAGCACCTAAATCAGTGCTCTGCACAGTATTAGATAATGAAAATATGACCAGAATCATCAATACTTGTCTTTCACTGAAAATAAGGCCACTAAGCAATGTCTATGGTGACTCAAATTAAGTTTCACCCATTAAATCTGTACCAATTTTATTCTGCTTCCATACAGCTGCTATAATGCCAGGGAAAACAAAGTGTAGAGCTCAAAACAATGCATGTAGTGACCTGGAGAAGAGAGTCTGTTCCCAAAGCTTATATTTTTTTATGTTTGGTCTAATATAAAATAGTCAGATTACCTAATGTAAAATATTGCCTCTCTCTGTAAGATCTGCTTTTCTATAGCGTTCAACATAATAATCTTTCAAACTCCTGAAGCACATAAAAGCAAAGGAAAGAGTACCCAAGTATTCTGGCACCTCAAGCTTTAGTAAAGACAAGAATATTGATTAAGCAGCTACTGATTTATTTGGTAGTTGCCCATAACTTCATCTCTTGTAAATGTTGTGGTCACTGGAAAGTAAAATAGTACTTCTGAATAAAGACATATATCTGTTAGAAGGACTATAAATGTTACAAACTCTGTTATGGGAGTCATAAAACTACTGATAAAAAATATAAAACCTGTGTTTACTGAAATAGAAACAATATTTAGAAACTAGTTTTGTTAACCTGGTCATGACATTACTTGTCCTCTCCTAGGAAGAAAAATCCTGAATGTAGCGTATACCTATTTGATTGACCAAGTGGCTGCAGTTGGAGCAGATTCATGAGGAAATTTGCACCCCTTTCAATGAAGTGGCTTGGAGGATGATAGGAACATGTTCAGTAGATCTGTGTCTATACAGAGTTAAGTTCCTTTGTCTCTCAGATATGTATCCTAGGAATATACTCAGCATAAGAAAATAACTGTACAGCATTTGGGCATCTTGACAAGCAAGTTAGCTTTAAACAATCTTTGCACCTTTTAAGTGACACCCCAGAGGCTGGAGGAGTGTTTTGCTTAATTTAGACTGCAGTGTCTGTAATTTTCTAAGCATTGCATGACATTTAGACCTCTTTGAATTTATTCCTTCTGACCTCAGAGTGCTTCTTGTGCATTGAAAGAGGTCCTAGAGGAAAGGTTTTATGGTCATCTCTCTATATTGTTCATGGAGCTCTTCTCTAGAAAAGCTCAAGAATTTTAGTCTCTATACCAGCTGGCACTTTCATTTGTACTGACTCTTGCATTAGAAAAACCTTACCTCCTAAGCATAATGTATTGGCAGCATTAAAACACCTCTGCTGTTTTTACTAGATTGTATATTCCAGTGATCCTTACCACTGGAATATGCAATCTCAGTCTCAGAGGATATGGTGGAGAACGGTCATCTTTTTATGCAACTGTTCCCAGGACTATTTAATGAAACATATGGTGAAGATCTTCTTTGGTATTAATTTTTTTTTGCATTTCTGTCTTTATTAAAGCCTGTTAGTTTTCTGTCTTCTCACATTTTATGGCTTTTGCACAAATACTTCCTCAAGTGAGGGAAAAGTATTTCCTGGGTGTAAGTTTCAAGGTTTGTGTAGTGCTGTGTGGAACTAGACAAGGACGTTCCACTTGGCCTCATAGAAAAGTCCTAAAAGTTTAAATTTCATTGAGGCCTAAAATTAGAAGACATTTAAGGAAAAAAAAGCAACCAGCCTTACCCAAAAAGATGATATAGTGTTAGCACCACATCCTTCTTCCCAAGTACTTCTATAGCCCACTGCTTCGCTCTCCCTCTCAGCTGGCCTATAATTCCCTGTCCTATGAAAGAGGACTTTGCTGTCACTTTCCTGCATGTTTCTCCTTCTCAGGCACCTCCTTCAGCTTTCAGCACTGCATTTCAAGCTTCAAATCTGATTCTGCTTTTTGCATACAGCTGAGTGATTATGACCTCCTCTCCCTTCCCCATTCAGTATGGCTTTATGAGCAATGCTGTGTTTCAGCAGAGAAGCTGGGTCCTGTGCAGTGCTCCCCACATTGCTGCTACCAGGGCAGGTGGCACTGTGACCTGATGGATTTCTACAGACTTTGTATCAGCCTTGCTAACAATGTAAAGGACGAAAAGCAAAGATAATTGGGACCCAAGTGTACCGGATTATCTTACTTGTATATCATGCAAGCACACCCAAATTTCAGATCCAAGAAATACAAGAATTTTCACAGGAGATCACCTCGGGCATGAATTGTACTTTGTCTTCTTGTGATTTGCAAAATAAGACCCTTGCAAATGCAGATAGATAATAAGTAAATAAGATAATTCAGCAAAACCTAATTCATAAAAATGTAAATGTATACTCCCTTCCCTGTGGCAATATATTCCAGTGTTTAAATCAAGCTTCATGTTTCTTTTAAACAAGTCTTTAAACCTGCCTTAATGGAAGAGTTATTCAAAAGTTTGAAAATATCCTCTATCACATTATTTATGAACTCAAAATATTTTTCCAGGACTATAAATTATTCTAAGCTTGTTTCCCCAGGAGTCCCATTATTAAATGAACTTTAAAGCTACAGTTGGAAGGTGAATTTAATACCAGTCATACAAAATATAAAGTTCCAGCCCTGCAAAGACATCTGTGTCTGACTTTAGGCTGATGAATATTTTTACTGACTCAGTGGAAGTGCTCCCACTAAAGCTAAGTACATCTATTAAGTGTTTGAAGGCCTGTATCTGAAAGTACCACAGTAATAATCATAAGTAAATATTTGTACAGCCTTTCCTTTCTCTAAATGTTTAATTTTTTGAGCATCTTTAAGATTCCTAGCTAAGAAGTTTGTTTTGCAGTACTAAAAGTTTTGGAGCACACCCAAAAGCTGCAGACCTTGCCAATTTTGATTTACATGGGTATCAACCAGTTCTGGTTTGTATCCCTGCAATTTAAGATTAGTATGCTGTGTTTAACTTAATACAGACAAAGAAAATTTAGTATCTTCAGTTACAGCATGATGAAATATAAAAGTCTTGGTTTGGGACTTGATTCAAACCAGAAACTGGACAAATAGCTGCTTATTTGGAAATTCTTAAAGGTAGGTCAGATATAGAAAAAAATACGTTTGTTTTGGAGAAGACAATGTTTCCAGCTTGTCTAGGCTAGAAAAGCAGACTTTGACTGAAAACATATAAATTCTTCTATAGACAGAACTTTGCTGTTAAATAAGTGTAAACACAATTTGACACCTTTTTAAGTGTGTTTGTCAGCACAAGTCCACATTTCAACTGTAACTGCCAAACTGCATTTTAAATATGGACTGGTTTTCTTATTAGAGCCAAAGGAGGACAAGAGGGAGGAAAGTGAGTCTGCCTCAACTATAAAGGCACACAAACATACCAGCAATTCTCCTTCATAAAGTTAATTTTAAGTCAGAACTATTGCATGCTACATGTTCAATAGGTTTAGAAATATGGATTCCTTTATTATATACCCCATATTTTCTTACATTCTTCCATGTGATGGACACTGCCCATCAGAATGAGCAGTTCAGGGACTGACAGCTCACTGTAGATGTGTTTAAAATATCTACAACTTTTGTGGAAAAAAAGCAGCTACTTTACAAGCAAGTACATTATATGAGAATTGAAAGCAAGAACCAACTTTGCTGCTGTGGTCCCAGCTGCACTCATAGGTAAATCAGTATCAGCTTTTGTAGAACGTGCTCTGCAAACACCGAGGTGGAGCATATTTCAGAAGGGGCATATAGATGGCCCACTGATCTGCCAAATGTCCTTTCCAATGCTAGAAGTATGTATGAACGAAGGCTTCTTAATACAAAAATGGTGAGAGAAGTATCTTATTTTCACAATCTGGGGAGTGGGAAGCATGGTAGTGGAAAATGAACCAACTTCTTTTGGAATAAAAGTAATTCTGATGACAACAGGAAGCATTCATATACATGTGGAGGCAAGTGTGACTCAGTAGGTGGAAGTTAGCTATGCACATCTGGGCAACATGCATGGACCATCACCAGGGATCAGAGAGGTCATTACAATAGGAATTCCACCTCAGTTTAATTTGCTGCATGTAACTGATGCACAAATACTAGGAAGGAATGGAATTTTAATGTAAAAATTATCCATTAAAAATCACAGTGTAAATTTGTGAACATTTGCGGTATGTTATTTGTTGTCTTTAAGTAAATTTGCACTTCAGCTTGACACATAAACCCTTCAAAAGATCTTAGAATTTTTTTTACTAATAATACTGTATTTTAAATGG